ACAGGCTGTAATTCCAGCACTCTAGATTCAGAGGCAGGAGGATTGCTGCAAGTTTAAGAAGGCCAGCCTGGTCTACACAGCAAGTTCTAGGCCAGCCAGGGACACATAGCAAGACCTTGTCTCAAAAACAAAACAAAACAAAAAAACAAAAACAAAAACAAATCACAATCACCCAAATAAAAGAAGAAAGGAAATAGCTGGGCTGTGGTGGCACACACCTTTAATTCCAGCAGAGGCAGGAGTGTGAGTTCGATGCCAGCCTGGTCTACAAAGTAGTTCCAGGACAGCCAGAGAGAAACCCTGTCTCAAACACACATGCACACACACACACACACACACACACACACACACACACACACACACACAGAGAAACCCTGTTTTGGAAAACCAAAACCAATAATAATAATAAAAAGAAAAAGAAAGGATAAAAAGCAAACAGGAAGGAAGGAAGGAAAGAAGGAAGGAAGGAAGACAGAAAATACTAGTAGGGTAACTGGCATCTTTAAGCACTAAATATGCTTCCTTTGGGACAACAAATCTGGGTGGTTTTCAGGTTTTTTGTTTGTTTGTTTGGTTTTTGGTTTTTTGAGACAGGGTTTCTCTGTAGCTTTGGAGGCTGTCCTGGAATTAGCTCTTGTAGACCAGGATGGTCTCAAACTCACAGAGATTCCCCTGCCTCTGCCTCTCCAGTGCTAGGAGGCATGGGACACTACTGCCCGGCTGTAGTTTGCAGTTTTAAGGATCTGTTAGGAAGCAAATTCATTAATTCTTCAAGAGAGATGCACTTTGTTTTGTTATTGGACTTCTTTTGTTTTTGTTGTTGGCCTTTTAGTTTGTTTGTTTTTGCTTTTGCTTTTTGGAGACAGGGTCTCTCTCTTTACACAACCCTGGTTGTCCTAGAATTCACTATGTAGGCTAGACTTGCCTCAGATTCACAAGATCAGCCTGCTTTTGCCTCTTGACTGCCGGGGTCAAAGGCATCTACTACCGTTATGCCTTGCTCAGAGATACACTTTGTTTCTCTTGTAGGTAGCAAGCAGAACAGAGGTTACAGACACTAACCAGCAGGATTTGGTTGTTTTGATTTTTTTTGTTAGTGTCTCAAGTAGCCTAGGCTGGGCTTGAACTCCCTATGTAACTGATTTCTGATCCTCCTGCCTCCACATAAGGGGGAGTGCTGGAATGATGGGTGTCCACTACAGGGCCTCCTTTTATGCCAGTTGTTAATGAAGAGTCTAGACCAGTGCTCACTGACCTTTCCCTTGAATACTAGCAGTGAATACAGAGCTGTGATCTAATGGCAAACCATGAGAAGGTCCCCATTCCCTTTCACTATGGCCAGATGGAACTCAAGGCTGAGAGGGATGGAAGAGGCACTGCAAATTAAGAGGCTGGTGAGGGCAGCAGGTATAATGCAGTACCCTCACATCAGAGCGCATCTACACCAGGCACCAGGCACACCTGACTTCATCTTGGAGCCTTGGGCCTTCACCAGGCCAGACTTCTCAATGCACAGCTAGGACCCTTTCTCCTGAACCCCAAATTTGGGTACCTAGAAATACAGAGGGACCCTGTATATCCCTGGAACAAGGAAAATAAATTTTGGATGGGGAGTCTGAACCACATGCAACCAACCAGAGGAGGTGGAAGTCAACCAGCAAAGATGGAAGTCAGGGGAATGGAGAGTCCTTGGCAAAAGAGCTTAAGCACACTGCACACCAGTGCCATGAGGACATTACAAACCCTCTGAAGCTTGGTTAATGACATTGCCTGAGAAAAAGTAAGACTTTCAACCATCAGGAAAAGAGAATAAGAGAGTCTGCCTATTGAGGCAAGATCTTACTGTGTAGCCCTTGCTAACCTGGAAGGCCAGGCTGGTCTCCCACTTGCAGCCATCCCCTTGCTCCAGACTCTCAAATGCTGGACTTACACCTGTGAGCCGTCAGGTCTGCCTAGCCTGATCATAAATACTATGAGAAAAAAAAAAAGATTGCTGTAACCTTTGTGAACTCATGTTACTTCCTCTTGAATATAAAAGCACACATGGAGCTCTTATTTGCATCCTGCCAGAATTCACCTCTGGCTTTCTCATTATCACAACTTTGCCAATGTGCAGAAATTGAGTCTTGGGAGCCTTCCCTCCATACCCAACTTCTTTGTCTCCCCAACTCCTTTCTTCCACTTTATGTGCTGTGCCTCACTCTGCAGCTCAGGATGGACTAGAATTCATGACAATCCTCCTGCCCCAGCTAGAACTGCAGATGTGAACTACCACATCAGCCTTTGTTTTTCCTTTCTTGTAAAATAACTATTGTAATTCCCTGTGTGGTATGTATGGACACATTGATGCCACAGTATGCATGCAACTCTGGGGCTCCACCTCAGGTCATCAGGCTTGCAGGGCAAGCGCTTTGCATGCTCACCAATAATGCTCACACTGCCTCCCTTCAGTTCCCAGTCATCACAACTGTGCTTCTTACGGTTTTGCCTCTTTACTTACATGTAAATGGAGTTACACATAATTTTCCTTTGTGTCAGGTTTGCTTCATTAGCTTTCCCCCCCAATGTTCATCTATATTATGACAATTCAGAATTTCCTCTTTTTAGTGGCGTGTGTGTGTGTGTACAGCTGTGCATACCCATGCACTACAGAGGCCAGAAGAGGATGTGAGTGTCTTGCTCCATCACTCTCCACTCTAGTCCCTCTACTTTCAGTTCTTTGGGGGCATAGCATCAGAAATGACATTGCTGGGTCATATAGCAATTCTATGGTAACTTTCTGAAGTGCTGCCGCTGTGAAGGAACCATTCACACTCCCATCAGCACTGCACAAGGGTTCCCATTTCTCCACATCATTTCCCCTTCTGTTGATAATAGTCATCCCAGTGGATAATTAGTGGTATCTACTGTGGTTTTCATTTGTATTTCCCTAATGACTGAGGCTGAACATTTTGTGAGCATGCTTATTGGCCATTTGAACATCATCCTCAGAGAAGTATCTATTAGAATCTGTTTATATTTTTAAATTTTAAAAGGGGCTAGAGATGGCTCTGCGCTTAGGAGCATTGGCTGCTCTTCCAAAGGACCCTGGTTTAATTCCCAGCACCCACTTGGCAGCTCACAATTGTCTGTAACTCAAGTTCCAGTGGATCTGACTCCCTCACACAGACATACACACAGGCCAAAATACCAACAACACATAAAAAAAATAAATACATAAATAGATAAACAAATAATTACTTTAACATTTAAAGATTTTTATTTGATTGTGTATATACATAGGCATGTGGGTACCCTTGTAGATCAGAAGCATCAGATCCCTGTTCTTTTTAGTTTTTTTGTTTTTTGTTTTGTTTTGAGACAGGGTTTCTCTGTGGCTTTGGAGGCTGTCCTGGAACTAGCTCTTGCAGACCAGAGATCCGCCTGCCTCTGCCTCCAGAGTGCTGGGATTAAAGGCATGCACCACCACTGCCAGGCCATCGGATACCTTAGAGCTGGAGTTACAGGTGGTTGTAAGCCACCCCATGTGGTTACTGGGAAGTAAAATCAAGTCCTCTGAAGAGCAGAAAGTGCTTTTAATTGCTGAGCCATCTCTCCAGCACTGGGTTTTTGTTTGTTTTGTTTATCTTCAACATCTTTTAAAAAATGGTCAGTATCTGAACTAATTCACATGCTGATAACTGGATTTCTTTTTTTTTAATTTGTATTTATTTATTTTTGGTTTATTGAGACAGGGTTTCTCTGTAGCTTTGGAGCCTGTTGTGGAACTTGTTCTGCAGACAGGCTGGCTTCAAACTCACAGAGATCCAATTGTCTCTGCCTCCTGAGTGCTGGGATTAAAGGCTTATTTTATGTGCATTAGTGTTTTGTCTGCATGTGTGTCAGTATGAGGGTGTCAGAAGCCCTGGAACTGGAGTTACAGACAGGTGTGAGCTTGAGCTATCATGTGGGTTGCTGGGAATTGAACCTGGGTCCTCTGGAAGAGCAGTCAGTGCTATTAACCTCTGAGCCATCTCTCCAGTCCCAGACTTAACATTTACATTGTATTTTTATTTGGTGTGCTGGGCATGCCATCCATGATACATGTATGGCGGCAAGAAACCAGTCTGAGGGAGTCAGTTTGCTCTTTCCAGGTTGACAGGCTTAGAGACAAGTGCTTTACACACTGAGCCATCTTGCCAGCCCCAAAGTGTTACCTGTGCAACATCACCTGAGTGGTTGCCAGATTCTGTCCCCAGGAGCAAGGGATGAACCTGGGACCTCATATAAGCCAGTCCAGTGTTCTGCCCTCTGTTAAAATGCAGGCTGTCAGGCAGAACTTAGAGATACTTTCTAGTTCTGAGTTCATAAGAGGGTGGTGTTTTCTTTTTTTTTTTTTTTTCGGTTTTTCGAGACAGGGTTTCTCTGTGGCTTTGGAGGCTGGCCTGGAATTAGCTCTTGTAGACCAGGCTGGTCTCGAACTCACAGAGATCCGCCTGCCTCTGCCTCCCGAGTGCTGGGATTAAAGGCGTGCGCCACCACCGCCCGGCTGCGGGTGTTTTCTTATTGGTTGTGTGATGTGTGATACATGTGCAAGGGTCTGAGGACAACTTAGTCCACTCTTACCGTTCCTCGGTGTTGGGGATTGAACTCAGATCCTCGGGCTTGACAGCATCGTTACCGGGTGAGTCACCCTGCAGGGCCCATCATAGTATTTTTCTAAAGTGGAACTCAAAATTACACCGGAGGGGGCCGGGCGTTGGTGGCGCACGCCTTTAATCCCAGCACTTGGGAGGCAGAGGCAGGCGGATCTCTGTGAGTTCGAGGCCAGCCTGGTTTACAAGAGCTAGTTCCAGGACAGCTTCCAAAGCCACAGAGAAACCCTGTCTCGAAAAACCAAAAAAAAAAAAAAAAAAATTTACACCGGAGGAAAGCTGAACAAGTAATAGGAAAAGCCTGCTGGCTGTGGTCTTTTGGTAATAGAGGATCACGAAGAGCAAAGATTTGAGACACAAAGAAGCTCTCACTACCATAGTTTAGGACCAAGGAACTCATAAAACAGGAACTGGTGGCACAGGAGTCTGGGGTATGCGACAAAGTCAGTTTACAAGCAGGTCTTCGGCCCCACGACCTTGGAGTGAAGCTTCTGGGGAAGCAGTGAACTATTTAGAGGAATCCATGAGAACACAAAGCCCTGGAAGATGGAGGGGTCAGGGGTGGACGCACACCTGTGAATTCTCTCAGAGAAATCAGGATGGTGAGCTACTTCGTGACTGAGCAGCCCCAGGCCTATTAGGGGTACGTAAAAACTATCATATTGTGTTTGAGAGGGTCCGTTCCCGCGTTGCCATTCAGAAAAATTGGTAAACTATTTTAAAACCAGTTTGACTATAAAACGATCATCATAGAAACCCCACATCGCAGGTCTTGCGGGCGGCATCTGGGTGTGCACTTTAGCAAACAGGCCAGATAAAGTGCTCTCCAGAACGCACAGCGATGGGTTCAGGGGCTCGGAGGCCTCACGCGGCCCATGCCGGCTATAAATTTCTCCAGTCTGTAGAAGGCCACACCATGCAAAGTGGCTCTCTGAATGGCAGTCTCTGTGACCTTCAAAGTCGTGATATTAGACCCCTCCTCTCGATCATACAGCCCAACATCTCAAGTCTCTAGCACCCAAAAAGATTTAAAAACAATTGCACCCAAGGGCACTGCTCAGCGCCCCTGGGGTCCTTAGAAGCCGGGCACCTAAAGTCTGGTTAGTAAGCTTGGGAGGCCCTGGGCGCAAGAAGCTGGCTCCTTTCCGGGGACAGCGCTCGGATGTCGCAGGTCATGGCCAAAGAATCCAGCCCAGATGCTGTCTAGTCTCGCGCGGCCCGAAGTGGCCCATCGTCGTTGGGAGTCCAGATTCCAATCCCAGAACACCGAGACACTAGTGGATTCATGAAAGGGCACCACGTAAGTGACCCTCGGGCCCCCAAGGCCTCACAGAGGCTGGGGACCCGACCCAAGGTAAGGCTTTCAAAATAGCCTCAGAGCTATCCAGACTTTAAATGTGGAAAAACATTTGGCTTCTCACAGCGAACACACCGCGGCAAGTTCCAGCACACAGAACAGTCTCCGCGCGCACCCGCAGCCGGTACGGTCTCCCGGATCTGGGATCGGGGAACGCAAGTGCCCCCTGTGGCCGGCCCGCGCCTGACCTCGCGGGCCTGGGACGGCACCGGTGGCCTGCGCAGGGCCCAGGAGGAAGTTGGAGCCTCGGGGCCGAGTAGAGGGCAGGTCTGCAGCGCGGGCGTGGTGGGGCCCTACGAGCCGGGGCGACCCGGGGGATCGTGGCCAGGCCCGCTGGAGCTCGCGTCTCCCCACGTGGCGGGCCCCACGTGGAAGGGGCGGAGGAGGAAGGAAGGCGAGGGCGGGTGGAGTCACCGCACCGGTTTCGGGACCCCCGCGCCTCCCCACAGCCTCCAGGGTGGCATGGGGCTGGGCTGGGGAGTGCCTGCCTTGCCCGGCCCTCTCGGCTGCCCGCAGCGCCAGTGTGCACTTTCGCGTTGCCGCTAATCCCTGGAGAGAGCCGATTTGTAGTGAGAAGTATCTGTAGGGGCGAGACCGGACCATGTGGGGTTGTGTCATTGGTTTGCAAAGAGAGACCCCGCCTTTGAAAGAAAAAAAAAAGCGAGTGAGCGAGCGGGGACCCTCACCTCGCCTCCCGCCTCCTGCGCAGCCAGAGGGCACCGGAGCAGCGGCCCGCGCCGCTTCCGTCCTTCCCTTTCCTTTTCTCTGCGCTTTCCTCCTCCTTTCCGGGAGGAGAAAACAAATAAAGAAGAGCAAATAGCCGGGAGGCGCTCGGCTTCTAGGACCTTCCCTCCCCGGATCCAAGTTGCAGCCAGCATCCTCTGGGGGGTGAGCGCGGTGCGGTGCGGCGCGGGCTCGGGCCGGGGACCCCCAGCGCAGCCCCCGCCTGGCCGCAGGGCTGGCGAGAGGGCGCGCGGCCGGGATGGGGGGGGGGGATCGGGAGCCGGTGGGCGGGGGAAGGGGGTGGGGTGGGTGGGGAAGTAGGAAGAGGCTCGGCGGCGACGGGAGGAGGAGGAGGAAGGGAAGGGAAGGAAGGGAGGGAAGGGAAGGGAAAGGAAGGGAGGGGAGGGCGGGAGGGGGTGGGGCGCGGAGCTGGAGAGATTAAGTTTTTGTGTGTGTGTCTCTGTGTGCGTGTGTCATTTTAAGGTGGCTCGGGAGCTGCCCAGAGGAGCCAGCGGCGGCAGAGGAGCGGGAGACCGAGCTGGGAGCCATGCCGCGCTGAGGGGGGGCCTCACCGCCAGTGCCACCACCACCGCCGCCGCCGCCGGGTGGGGTGGGAGGGGCGGGAGCCGCCGCTACCGCTGCCGCCTCCCGGGTGGGCGCCCTTCTCCGTGGAAGCCGGCGACCCAAGGCGAGGTAAGAGGAGGGTCCTCGGGGAGGGCTGGGACTGCTGCCGCCCCCGCCTCACCTGCGGCCGCTGGCTGGGGCGCCGTGCCCGCGCCTCACTGCGCCACTCCGGGAGGAGGAGGGCGAAGGACACCGGGCCGGCATCCGAGGACATCTTTGGTCAGCGCCCCCGGCCCCGTGTTCACACGCTGCGCCCGGGGGTGGACGCAAGACTGGGGGTCATCGCTCGCCGCCCCTCGCCACCGATTGCGCCAGCTAGCCGCCCTTTGCGCCAGGATTTTTGTTGTGATGAGAGTTGATGAATGCGAAGTAGGCGGTCACCTTCCTTCCCATCAGGACTGGAAAAAAAAAGGAAAGAAAAACCCGGAGCGCAGCGGCGTCCGGAGGGCAGCGGCGGCGGCGTCTGGAGACGGTTTCCTAGGCGCCCCCGGCTTGCTCCTGGAGCCGGGTGGGTAGGCGCGCGGGGGCCGCTGGCGATCTTGGACGAGCGCGCGGCGCGCCGCGGGGACAATACGACCGGATCCCTGGGGACCAGGAGTCCGAGCGTACCGGGGTGCGGCAGGCCTTGCGCCTGTGAGGCGGGCGGGCGGGCGGGCGGGGGTGGGGGGAGGAGAGGACGGGGTCGCCGGGGACAAGTCGGGGCGCGCGTGGCTCGGGGCCCCTGGGGGCGCGGCCCCTGTCGACCCGGGACCCCGTGCGGTTCCCGAGAGTGTAACTGAGAGACCGGGAAGGAGGCGAAGCGGATCCCTTTTGTTTTGCCGGCCCGGCATTGTTGGCTCCTTGGGGCAGTCGGGGCCACATCTGCCGCCGCCGCCGCCAGTGGCGCGCGGGGCTCGGCCCGCCAAAGTCGCGGCGGGGCGGGGGGCCAGGGCGGGCTGTAAGGGCGGGGGCGGGCGGCGCGGGCATTTCCTCTGCCCGGCCGCGCTCCCGCGGGCACCACTTCCTCCTCTCCCTCCGCCGACTGTCCTCGGCGCCCTCACCCTGGCCGCACTTTTCGGGTGGGGCGAAGCAAAAAAGAAAGTTTGGTAGAAGGGGCTGGTTGGGGCGCGCCTTGGGCATCAGGGACCCAGCGTGGCGTGGGTACGGCCGGGTGGCCGCATTCGCCTCCCTGTTACTGGTGTGCTCCGCGGAGCCGGACCGACCCGCGGGAAGAGCCTTTCTTCTCCAGCTCGCGCCCTCCCCAGTGCCTCGGGCGACTGGGGCTGGGCAGCGCGGGAGTGTCGGCGCGCCCAGGCCTTGCTCCTGCGGGAGGCCCCGCGGCGTGGCCGGTCGCTTACAGCTCATGCTGCGCCCAGGGGCTCGGAGGCCGCGGGCCCGAGAGCTTGGCGCGGTCACCGCGGGCACACACTCGCGCGCACACACTCCCTCCGGTGGCTTGCTTTCCGCTGGAGACCATGGTGGCGGACACCGAGGGTGAGAGCGAGCGCGTGTTTGTGGTACCCCTGCCCAGCCCCCACCCCCTACTTTTCCTAGAGGCGGCCCAAACAGCGGTTGGCTCCAGGGTATCCCTAGGTTTGGGATTTTGTAGGGAAGCGGGGGAATATTTCGTGTAATCCCTGCGTGCTTGGAGGCTGCTGGTAATGGCCTACGTTGCCACTCCAGGCTCCCAACCTCGGGGAAACGGACCTTCCTGGATATTTGCCTTCTTTTCTTTAAAAATCAGAAGTGGGAACTTCTTAGAGAGTCCTTGTTTGCGAGTGGCTTGAAGGGTAGGAAAGAGAACTTGATGCATTGGAAATTTAAAATGCTAAACTCCTTTATTTGCGATTCTTTGGGTCGTGTGTATTTCTATCTGAGGTGGGTGGTTTTTGAGGGAACATTGTATTGGGGTAGAGGGGTTACAAAAGTGGTTCTGCTTTGTAACTTTGACGGGTGCATCAACCGTGGGACCTCTTTTCCAAGGAGATACCGCCTTCTCTCCTCGTGCTGTGTTCAAAGACAGTTTAAATTTTACCTCGCGTTCGGCTCCTGGGGCTGCTGTTTGCCTTTAGATAGATTCTCAAAGAACTAGTTTTCATTTACTTCGGAGAATTCTGGTTTCAGACGTTTTTCAGAATCTTTTACATCTTGAGTAATGGGGTTTAAAAAGGATCTTGCTTTTGTAATCACTTTTGTAATCACTTTATTTCAAAGAGTACTTCTTAACAGCAATTACAAAGTAATATTTTAAATGCTAATTCAACATTTTTAGCCGCAGCAACTTTAATGTTAAAACAAGGTTTCCTTTTTTTTTTTAAATAGCAACTGTATCTTAAAGTTGGAACATTGAATATCCTTTTGTTTGGCTCTAACACACTCCTGAAAAAAAACCCCAGTGCCCTTTTTATAGCCCCCCAAAGAAAAGTTAATGAGCTGGTAGGTTTCAAGCAAGAAGCAGGTCCTCCCTCTTGCAAAATATGCTTATAGTCGCCATTGAAGTTGAATGCTAGCCGTGAATGTACTCGCCTTTAATGAAACCGGTCTAATCGTTCACACTTGATCAAGTATAACATGACCAAACAAAGGAAATAAGCCAGCATATTTCTGTAGAGCATTGAGGGGTTTAGTGTAAGTGTTGATGTTGGGTCGCCCCTCCCCCCACCAGCCCCAGTTCAAGAGAGAGGGTTGAAAGCTAGGGGGATTTATGACACTGATTGGTTTTTCTGTGCCCCAGGGGTAAGGGACCCGGCCTGGGTACGTCTCTGTGGAAAGCAGCTATTAGAGGGAATTAAAAGATCTCAGGTTTGGAGCTAGTTCCGAACCTGACGAGGTGTGTTTTGGTTTCTTGTTTGGGGAGATACTTAAACTGAAGGAATATATCCACCCCCCACACCTTGTAATGGCACGTTAATAAGGGAGAGGAGAGGGCGGTGTGGTGTGCCCTGCTGAGGGGAGCTACTACCACGTGAGTTATTTACGGTTTCACTGGGAAGCTTTGAAACTGGCCCTTGAATGGGTGTTCTTGTGGGGGAGGGGCAGGGTGAGTTACCTTTTCTTAGCTGTGATTTAAAAAAAAACCTTTGTCCCTCAAATACATTTCCTTTCTAAGCTTGAGTTGCAATTTATGTGTGGGATTTAGTCCTCAACTTAAGTGAGGAAATGTCTGTAAAATGCAAAAGTGTCACTTCAGAGTTGAGAAAGTTAAAAAAAAAGTTCATTCACCAAAAAAAAAAAATCCAAACAAACACTGCCACTGGGGGAAAAAAGCACCAGTGACATACTTTGTGAAATATTTTAGCCTTTTAAGACTCGGGCACACCTGTTCCTGTCCCTGCTGAGTCGTTTGCTTTCCTTGGTATTGTTAATCTGGCTTTTGTACACAAGATGAAACAGTAAAACTTGCTAGTGGGATAATTATTAACTACTCCATCCGTTACCCTTTCAGGGAATAATCAATAACTTCACTCTTAACTTGAAAAACAGAAAATCTACTCCTGTAAGTCTAGAAAGTGTTTTAAAGAAAAACTGAATTAGAAGAACAAGCATGGAAACAACAAACTAGGAAAATGAACATGTACCATTTTCCGTGTTCTGAGAAAGCAGTCAGGAAACGTTGGGTATACTGAACCAGCAGCAGACTGAATTAAAAAAAATATTGTCATTGGAAAGTTTTAAAATAGTGAAGGAAAGTGAGTCCAGGGTGGCATGTTTTGTTAACCCTTTTTGTTGTTATTTTCTTTTGGAGACTGGGTCTCTACATAGCCCTGGCTATTCTGGAACTCACTATGTAGACCAAGCTGGTCTAGAACCCAGAGATCTGCCAGCTTCTGTTCCCCCATTTACAAGATTAAAGGCTTGTGCTACCACATCCTGCCTTTCTTTCTGTTTTTTTTGGGGGGGGTGCTACCACATCCTGCCTTTCTTTCTGTTTTTTTTGGTGGGGGGTCGAGGCATGGTTTCTCTGTGGCTTTGGAGGCTGTCCTGGAGCTAGCTCTTGTAGACCAGGCTGGTTTGGAACTCACAGAGATCCGCCTGCCTCCTGAGTGCTGGGAATAAAGGTGTGTGCCATCACCACCCAGCTCACATCCTGCCTTTTTTTTGTTTTGTTTTTTTTGTTTGTTTGTTTGTTTGTTTTTGAGACAAGGGTTTCTCTGTATTGTTTTGGAGGCTGTCCTGGAACTGTGATCACAGAGATCCGCCTGCCTCTGCCTCCCAAGTGCTGGGATTAAAGGCGTGCACCACCACCGCCTGGCACATCCTGCCTTTCTTATTGACTTATTAAAGAACAGAAAAGGACATCCTCCAAAAGAACACCTTTCAAGGAGGGCTCCTGCTGCATTGTAGCAGGCAATGTCATTTGCCAACAACATAACATGACCCTGGCATGAATCATTTTCGAGGACAAAGTTATCATCCCCCCCCCCCACTCAGTGCTTTTCCTAAATGGAAAAAATTTTTTAGAGTTTATTAGTAGAATGGTGGCCCTAGTTGTCATTTTTTACCACTGTCATTTCAGTATAGAGGAGCTGTCATCATAATGTATGTGAGTTCAGTCTAAGTCCCTCTGTTAATAATTTTTCTATCAGCTGGAAGCTGCAGCCACGTGTCCCAGGTGCCTGATGCAGGGCACAAGAAACAGCACATGGTTGGGAAGGGACATTTACAGTCCTGCTGGCTGTGAACAACTCAGTTAATACTTCCGTGTCCAGGTGGCAACAGTTCCATCATAGACTGTGGAACACAATTTTGTAGTCTTTAAAGAAAAACATAAGGAGCTGGGCGATGGTCGTGTACGCCTTTAATCTCAGTACTCAGGGGCAAATGGAGTCAAGGTCAACCAGATCTACAGATGGAGTTCCAGGACAGCCAAGACTACACAGAGAAACCTTACTTCCCAAGAAAGAAAAAATAGTGTAGTTTGACCCCTTCACAAAGAAGGCTTTGTACTTAACAGAGGTGACACCTTTTGGTGAAATCTTGGGTATCTTTTTTTTTTTTTTTTTTTGGTTTTATGAGACAGGGTTTCTCTGTATTGTTTTGGAGGCTATCGGTCCAGCCCAGTCTCGAACTCACAGAGATCCACCTGCATCTGCTTCCGGAGTGCTGGTATTAAAGGCGTGCACCACCACCGCCCGGCAATCTTCGGTATCTTACTAACAGTCCTTCTGTGGATGGAGTAACTCAGAAATGCTCAAGAGGCCTATGTGTGCTGAACAGTTTTGGGGGTACAGGTAT